TCACTGCAAGACTTCATTACTCACTTGCCAGCACACACATATACAGGAAAACTCACAGGTAAATACAGCCATCTGCAGTCATCAAGATTCCAAACCATCCTTAATGGCCCACACTTTACATAATTACAATAGGCCCTCAGAGTTATGTTTTATATTTCTAGTTTTAGATACAAGAGTGGTACATTTCTACAAATAGGATGATCACGCTCAGTAGATTATGAGCTTTGTAATGATACCTTACAAGAAATCTTTTGCATGAAGCCTATCCCAGTTACATTATATTCACTTATATTTTTATAAAACCATATAGACTGCACAACGTCACACGCAGGTCTGATCCACTACGGCCGTTCCCCGTCGGATGTGTGGAGCAAAGGAATCTGAGAGCCAGGAGAGCAGAGTGGGCTGCCAAATGAAAGCACTCTCCCCGAGAGCACATACATTGCCTTAGCAACAGATTCTGGTGCCAAAACAGTCTCTGGTGTCTGATAAGGAGACAACCACAACAGTGGGGCCTGCAAAGAGGAGGACCTTGCTGCGGGTCAGAACGGACTCTGCTGTCAGCACAGAGCACAGATGTATCAGAGACTTAGGGATGTTTGTTCGATGTCTGCACCAAGTAAAGCAAAGGCCCCACCTCCCGCCTCCTCCTGCAGGAGCAGGGCAGCTAAATCCGAAAGTTCTCCTCCCTGGTGGGGACAGGCGGAAAGTCTGGCACATCCACAGGCACTCTCTGAGATGACGAGGAGCTGCATGTATTTATCTCTGCACAGCCTCAGCCACCTCTCTACACTTGTTGATTCAAGACAAGTAGCTTTCTCTCTCAACCTCTAATATTTTCCCCTATAGAAATTAGCACAGAAAGGGAACAGGACTTGGTGCAGTGTGCATGGGCCCTGGGGAAGCAATGCATTTACATCACCCTCTGCTCCCCTCCCCCCACCATGTGAAGCACACGAGAGGGCTCTGGCTATCCAACCACAAAGGTCATTATTCCCCTGTCTGGCATCCTCCCCTCTGTCTGTCTGGGTAGCTCCTGAAGGCCAAACGCACAATGGGGAAAGCTCATGGACTCCTCCCCAACCCAGTTGCCACCTGCTCTGGGAAGACTCCTTCCGCCCTCACCATAGCAGCTCATGACTAAGGCGTTAATGTACCTAAATTACAATTTTTGGCAGGGTGGGGATGGGAAGGAAAATTCGCCCCATTCTGCTGTTTCCTCATATCTTCCCCACTCTTAAAGACAGACATTTTAGACATACCCATCTTGAGTTTTACTCCCCAGAAACTAGTTTTGAACTAGGGGATTTTTAAACCAAGAATGGATATTCTTCTTAAAGATATTCTCCAGTTCAAATAGGAATTAATTTAGGGCACTCCTATGGCCTGTGTTATACAAGTGATCAGATTCCGGGATCCTAGAGGTCCCTTCTGGCTTTATAATCTATGCATCTAGGACTTGGAAGTTTCCTGAGCTTTAATGGAGCCTTCGCATTCTGAATTCTGGTAGAATTTTGGCTTAAAGTTTCCACTGCCCCCTCCCTTCCCCACAACAAGTCTGCTCTGAAGAGTTTCAGTAAAACACCCAGAACCTTGAACCCAAACCCACCCTTATCATTACAGTCCTGGGTTGGCTTCCAGACCACAAGGGGGCCTATCTCCCCATGCAGAGGCAGTTGTAATTTCGTGAGAACAGTTTGTCAGGTTTCGTTGCCATTGAATGCACTCCCAACCCCAGCCCGGTCTCTGAGCCACAGCCGAACACCTCCCTCCTGGCCCATCTCTTGTTATAAAAGAACAGGTAGAAATTATACAGTGAAAAAGAAAATGGGTATTTCCTCCCATTTGCTGCTGGGATGAACCTTAATTTCAACTGCACTGCTGGGAATTCACCTGAGTTCATGAAAAAGCCACTCCCTTCCTGTAGGGCAGGTGGGATTTGAAAGCTCCATGACCGTAGCTACCTGCCCTTTCCCACCACCTGTCCCAGAGCCAGCGTTAAGACCAAGCAAGACAAAGAACCATTTCCAGCTCCATAATACAGTAGCTTCATCTTCCAGCCAACTGCACAGGATTAACTCACCACCCAATGCTCCCTCCACTTTTGACCCATAAAGCTTGGGGATCCACGCACTGTAAGGTCACTTCTGTCTAGGTCCCATGCTGCACCCCACGGGGGCTCCTATTGAACAGCAGGGAGCAGCGACAGAGTCAAGCAAAATCAACTGCTGGGATCAGTAACACAGAACGAGCTGGAGGAGCCACTTGAGAGAGGTTTTCACATGATCGTCATCAAGAATACGCAATGGGGAAGGAAGATTGGATCTGGGGCAGGAGACTGCACTGAGATGCCCTTGCTCCCTGTGAATCCCCCTGCACCCAAAGTCACAGTCTCCAGCCAGTGCTTAAAGGGATCTGAAAAAAGTGTAGGGGTGGGGAGGAGGGTCTAGTATAATCTGAGGGTAGCAGGTTTTGTAAAGCAGAACATAAAGTGGGCCCCTCACAGACCCAACTCAATTAAAAAAAAAAAGCCAGGTTGGAGCAGTGTTTCTCAGGGTGCGGGTCCCTGAGCTCTTCCTGACACAGCTTAGGAAGGCAGCAAGCCGGTCCCTGGTATCAAAAAGGTTGAGAACCATTGAGTTAGAGGGATGAGGGCTGAAATACAGAGCAGGAGAACTTGGGCAGCAAATTAGCTGTTTGGACCCCTCCCCTGGCATCTGCCCCCTCTTCCTACTACCCCAATTGGCGCATGCCCCCCACCTACCTCCAAACTGCCCTTCTCCAGGCAACCTGCCCAACTGCATCACCCCCCTGCACCTGCCCACTGCCCTTCCCAAACCGCCCGCCTTGCAGGGCATCTTCTTCACTGCTCTCCGTGCCCAAGCTGCCCGGCTCCCTGCCACTGCTCAGAACACCCCCAACTGCCCCCCTCCTGTCCCCCATGAGCCCCCCTCGGGCACATGCCTCCCCCACTCCCCTGGCAGCTCCACTCCCTCCATCCCTGGGCGTCTGCCCCCCGGCTTTACCTGACCCGCTGAGCGCCCCGGAGCCCAGGGCGCTTCCCAAGCGCAGCCAGCACCTCCCGAGCCCCCAGCTTCAGCCAGGCTGCGCTAGCCATGGCGGGGTAGGGGGCGCTGCGCCCCAGAGCCCAGCCCCACGCCAGCCACCGGCGGGCACGGGCACCGCTGCAGCCCGAGAGTGAGTTTGGGGAGGGAGGACGAGAGGAGGCGAGTAACGCTCCGAGTGCGGAACAGCCAACAGCTTCGCCCGGCGAGGGGCGGAGCAGGCGCCAGGGTGCGCGCAGGAAAGATTCTGTGTTAGAGGAACTTCTGCGGGCGGGGTCCCTCCCCCTGCGAGCTCCCCTG